ATACATCGTACCATGTCGTCGTCTGGAGTCCTCTAGAGAGTTCCTGATGTCGTTCTTCTGAGTTTCAATTGACTTGTTCAGTCTAGCGAACAGTGTATCCAAAGCAGCGGTCGATGAATCAATCCAGTCCTTGGTAGCTCTATGAGCGCTCTCAACTCTACATGTTGTAGTGTTCCCAAAATGAAGTACCTGGTTTGTCCAATATTTGACAAACTTTTCCCTGTGAGAGACCCATTGATGCATCACATAGTCCACCAGTGCCGGACACCACTGGTACGAATCCCTGAAGTTAGCCAATGCTCGCTCATACGCTTCCTCTGTGGTAGCCTGTAGGATCTTCCGCCACTTACCATTCACCAATCTCTCTGCCATTTCCAAATTCTTCTTGAAAAGGTTGTAGGCTTTCACTTTCACGCAGTTGTTGATGTGCCATGTGCACAATAAGTGGTTCGATTCGGGAAACAGCTCTGCTATGGGGGCAAAGAGACCTCCCTCACAGTCGCTGACGATGGCTGCTGGATGAACATTAGGCCCGATGTAGTTTCTCAGCTTCTCCAACACCCAATAATAACTTGGAGCCGTCTCATCCCTGATGATTGCATGACCAATCAGAAAGTTCTGGTTCGTTGGAGCCATCCCAACCATCTCAACCAGAGGGAACTTGTACTTGTTTGTCTTGTACGTTGAGTCGATCAAAATCACAAATGGCCAAGACTTGATCATATCAGCACAATCAGGATGCACAAGGAAAAGATGAGTCACCTCCGCTGTATCTTCATCAGAATCAAACCAGAACAGGTAACCACGTGATTGTGCCTGGTGTAACAGCTGCTGTATAGGGTTCCTTCCCTCTGACCGTTCAAACCTGAGTTGTTGTCTGACGTTGTAGATGTGTCTTCGGTTTGGATGGTCTTCTGGAAATTTCTCTAACACAGATGCTAATATTTTAGCAGGCTTCACTTGAGCATCACTCATTTCTTTCACAACTAGTTTCGCAGCAGGACTTAAGCCGCTCAGTTGTCGATGACCCTCTTCATATACTATCATCTCATGGTTGTGATACCCCCATTTAGAGTAACCTATCACTTCCCAACCGTCACGACTCCGTAGTTGTCGAATCTTTACTCTGAACTCACACCCACAACCTTTCCGCTTTGTGTCAAACCGAGTGGCTGTACGAAAATCTCTTTCTTCTCTTTTGCGATAACGGTCACATCTCAAAATGCGATCCATTCTACCATCCCGTTGAGATTTATGAGTTGCTACTACCAAGCAAAATCCAGCTGCAATTGCAACCTGTTTTGCCCAATCAATCGCCGGTTGAGCTTCTTCGAATGGACCATCATGTCCAAATATCCCACTGTAATCATTTCCGTCTCCACCATATTCCTGCATCAATTATATATTACAATAAATACATTTAACGGATAATACATTTAATTTCTATATTTCCACAGAATTAACACAAAAAAAAACATAATTATATATAATCAAACTTAATTTTTATAAAAACCCAATTCGAATGTTCAAACTAAATTTAAAAATATACCATTTCGAATTTTCAAATTTAATTTTAAAAAAACCTATTTCGAATTTTCAAATTTAATTTACAAAAAACCCATTTCGAATTTTTTTAAAAAATCATTTTCGATTTTTTTTTTACAAAAAAATTAAATAAAAAACAACAACAAAATCAAAAAAGAAAAAAAAATTTAATTATTAAAGGTGGCGTCTGCCAGGGCTGCCACATCCACTGGACTGGCGCCTGGCAGGGCCGCCTCACCCAGTGGAGTGGCGTCTGCCCAGGACGCCAGTCTGGTGGTCTGGGCTGGACGCCACTCTGGTGGTTCTGGCGTCCGGCTTGGACGTCTAGGCTACGGTTTGGGCGTCCACCCTAGGCGCCGGAGCCACTCCGACGGTAAACCGTGAATTTTAACGGTGACTTACCTCGTTTTCCGTCGACGACGACGTACCTTCGGCGTCCTCCGCATCTCCGGCCTGCCATCCGGTCTCCCCCGGCGAGCCAGTACGGCTCCACATTTTTTACACCGAGATTATTTCAATTTTAGAAAAAGGGCATAATGGTCAAATCATATCATATTTGTGGGCTTTATATGGTAAATTGCGGGCGATGTTTAGCGTTTCACTTTGGTGGTGGTTCTTGTTTTGGATTTTGGTGGTGGTGCTGGTTTTTTTATTTTTTTTTTATATGTAGGATTAATACTTAATTACATGCCCTTATATTTCAATAACCATGCTTTAAAAGTTTTGCATTGGCCTTCGTGAACGGTACGGTTGTTGCAAATAATAGTAAACGGAGGTAGTAGATGTTAGTGGGGTAGATAAGGTTATTATTTTATTGAAAAGTAAAGTAGTGTGAGAGGGAGTGGGGACCATCGGATGAGTGAGAAATGATATAGTAAGAAAGAGTGGGGACATTAGTGGGTAAAAGATATATTATTAAATTGTAAGAGATTTCCAAAAATGGAACTCTAGCTTAAAAAAAAAGGACGAAAATAGTAACTCTAGCTTATAAAAATAACGGAGGGAGTATGTTTAATGTGTTGGCTGATATGTTTTATTTGTTGGCTGGTATAGTTTTTGTGTTGGCTAATATATTTCTTTTGTTGGCTGATATGTTTTTTTTTTTTTTTTTTTTATTATTATTTTTGATATGTTCCTTTTGTTGGTTGCTATAAGACACCAGTTGGCTGATATGTTTCTTTAGTTGGCTGAGATCTTTATTTTGTTGGCTGATATGTATATTTTAATTGTAGGTTTATATGTTTCATTGTGTTGACTGATATGTTTATTTTGTTGGCTTACTTGTTACTTTTGTTTGCTGATTTCATCCTTTTGTTGGCTGATATGCTTCATTTGTTGGCTGATATGTTCCTTCTGTTGGCTGATATGTATCTTTTGTTGGTTGATATGTTCCTTTTATTGGCTGATATGTTCCTTATGTTGACTGATACGTTTTAATTAATGTCTGATATGTCCCTAATGTTGACTGATATTAAACATCAATTGGCTGATATGTTCATTTTAATGGTTGATATGCATCATTTGTTGGCTAATATGATTAACAACATACAATATATTTTGATTTCCTTCTCTCTCCTTTTTCCCCCTCTTCCTCTCTTTCTTTCTCTCTCTTTCAAATGAATAATGTATCAGCCAACAACCCAAAATGCTCAAAACTCAAACTCAAACTCCAAACTCGAAATGCTCTGCACACTCCCTCACTCTTCACCACCCACTTCACCACCACTTGCCGCCCTCTCCTCCACCGCATTTCCCTTTCCACCACCACCACCACCACTTGCGCCACAACAGCCGCTTCAACACTAACAATTGACACAAACAACAGCGGCGCTTGACCACTGCAGCCAACCACCTCCAAATTCACACCACCCCCAAATCGCCACAAAATCGCCACCACTAAATAGCCACACCAAATTGCACCCAATTTACCACCACCAAATCGCACCAAGTAGCCACCAAATCGCACCCAAATCGCACCACCAAATCGTACCAAATCGCCACCAAATAGGCACCAAATCTTATTCTGGGCCATTGCTTGGAAATGTGTCTGAGGGTTTTGGGAAGTATGCATGGTCATGTTTATGACAGAGAGTGGAGAAAGGGGGATGAGACACGGGTGGGGCAGACTTAGATTTCCTTCTGGAGCAGTTTGAGGGTGAGTTTTCAGTGGTAATTGTGTTTGAAGGGGCTGCCGCACGAACTATTGGGTGCGGACTGCCGCAGCCAATAGTTTGTGTTGGTATTATTGTGATAAATTTATCTCTCTAATAAATCGATCTATCTCTATTTTCTTGATGGAAATTGGAAATTTTATTGATTAATTTGAGAAGATATAGGCTTTGTTTGGGAATTAAAGAGTTAGTGGTTAATTGGTTTATCAATTAGCTACTAGCTGTTAGCCATTAACTGGTTGTATTAAATTGGTTGTCAAACGATCATAATAGTTTTTTTTATGAATTAAAGTATTTAGTAAATATTTGCTTGTTATTTACTAATCTATTGAGTAAAATGATAGTTGATAATATTGGAATAATATATTGGTATGAAAGATGGGAGAATCCTTAGTGAATGATAAAGTAAATTTGACCAAGTTTAGGGTAGAATAAATTGAAGTCATATTAAGTTAGTTTTATAGTATATTCACAAACATCTATTCCAAAAAAACTCGTTCAAGCAGCTTTCATAAATTAGTTTTTTTAAAATCAAACATCTCTTTTAATCCTCTTTCAACCAAACACTCACAAGTTTGAATTTATCATCAACTAGTTTTGTGTCCGGGCGATTCCCAAATTGTTTCATATAATCCCTTTTGATAATGCAGGATATTTATATACGATATCATCGCTTATATTTATAAAATAGTGTACTTTTGTAGTTTTGTTTATAAATAGAAATCTATGTTATTATTGACTTAAACTTATTTTTATTGAACTTAAAAGTATATAATTTTAACTAATTAAAACTTATTTTTACTAATTCTCTATTATTTTTTTACATAGATTAAATATATTGTAAATGGATCTTATTTTAAAGAGCTTTTTAAAACGAATTTTATGATGGAAATAGAATCGAGTTATAGGATATGTATTTAAAGTTATGATTAATTTTGTATATATGAAATATTAGAACTATATTGATAATAAAACTCTATACAATATTGTTATCTTAAAAAAAAATCTATCCTTTAACATTATACGTCTCACAATAATACCTATTTGTTGCCTATGTGGCGTGACACTTGGCAAAAAATTGGAATGCCAAATGTCGCTGTCTCATGGCCTGGCTGCGAGACCGGCTTTATTTATTACTGATATATGATTAAGAGACAGAGGGAGTAATATATATAGATTATGCCATAACCTTAATTTAAAAAGTGTAAATCCTATATTTCAAAAAAAAAAAAAAAAGGTGTAAATCCTACTATTATATAAATGTAATAACCTTAATTCAATTGTAACAATTATGAGAGATCAAGAGGGAAAACTAATGAAGCAATTTAGTTTATGCACAAAACTATAATTTCTAGCAAAATAACGAGAGACATGCTTTAATTACTTGCTTATAAACGACAATATGCGACCATAAAATTAGCCACAAATTGCAATTGGGAAGTACAGACATTATACTAGCTAGCTAGTACATGATTAATCACAAGAAAAAAGATTAAAATGTTTAGATTGGTTGGAGAAATATAATTGGACAGCCAGCTAATAAGAGTACTGCTGGCTTTTATAAAGAAACACATAAATAAAGACTAATTAATCAACAGTTACATATAATTTAAAAAAGGAAAAAAAAAAAAAAAAAAAAAACCTAGCTAGCTAGCCTCTTCATTCTTGAATCCTACCTAGTAATTGGTACACTTCTCTTGCAATTTCATCCACGGAGTTTAGTTTGCTCTCATCTTCTACCTGCAATCATATATCATAATTTATGTGAGATAATTAAACATCTATATTAGCACAAATTTTATCAAATTTCCTAATAGCTATATAGACTTAATTAATTACATGCATCACATCGACCACAGGTACATCTTTAGATATTAATCTCTATCCATTTTAAACAAGTTTATACAAAAAAAATTACCAAAAAAAATTATCTATATGTAGAAATGTCGTGTGGCTGACACAATTAGTGTCACACATTAAATCGAAGAAATAACATAGAGATTAGATGCAATAGTAACACTACGTACATAACTACATTTAATGTCGAGCATTCAAGAGAAAATGATATTCATTAATATAAGCTAAGGAATTGAATTAAGCAAGGTAGGTTAAGAATTTACAAACCTTGAGACTAAAAGAGTAAAGGACAACTCCATCATCAGCAGTGTTGACATTAAGATGTAGGATGGACAACCTCAAACTATGCAAGCCAGACACAAGCTTAGATAGCTGCTTAGGCGGACGCCTTAATCTTATTTTAAGGTGTGCGTGGCTCTCAACCATTGTCACCTCTACATCCGCGGCCAACCCACCACTATCACCACTACCTCGAACACTAGCATGATCAAGTTGTTGAGGGCTTGTTGCGTCGCTAGCCTTTGTTTGATCTTCATTATCAACGTTGCTATTGCTAGAAAATTGTGGAAAGGTGAAGAACTCTCCAAAGGGCATTGTTGAGCTTGATGAGTTACCGTTTGATTCGAGATTCTCTTTCATTTGCTTCTTTGCACTCAAATTTTGTACGTTATGTTCTAGCTCCTTTACAAAGTTGATTGCTGCTCCAACTATTGAAGCTTGGTCTCCCTTTAATATGTAAAATGAAAAGTAAAAGCAAGGTTAGCTTTTACTTTTTACTGGCTTACACATTGCTTGCCTTTTTTTAAAAAAAAATTGTTTTGTTCAAATTGATCCATTTTAGGAAGAGCTAGAGATCTCCTTGCCTTAATTACATATATTAGGGAAATTGATAATTCAATTTCAGATTCAAAAATTGATTTTGGCACTTTTGATCACGACTTAACGAGAGCATAGTCTAAGGGATCAATTCCCCTTATAAAGGTTTAGCATTGCATTTCCATATAAAATTTCCTCTGAATTAAAATATAATAAAGTGCATGTCTTGTAGAAATTATAAAGTAAAAAATTGATTAAGCTATAAATTTTAGTTTGATACAAAATTATTATGCAAGAATTATATATACTATCATGAACTTAATAGTGGATAAGGAGATCCAATTTTCTACAAAATGAGGGTGAAAATCAAATTCAAATTTAAAGAACTTTTTGTCTATAAAAGTTTTCCTCTTTATTTTTGGGAGATCAAAGAAAGCAAACATTGCCCTTAAAATTTGTATGAACTTGGTCTATTATTAAAAAATGAAAACATAGGTAACAATTAATATAAGGTTAACCATAAAAGGTAGGACTTGATATGTACTTCAAATTACGCTTCTCAATAGTGTATACCGATCAAGATATATGGCTTTGTACATCTAGGAGACAAATTATTCACTTCAAATTGATCATCACACATTTAATTCACCCTCTAATAATCAACCTTAACTCACATAGTTGTACACAACACGCATTAAATTACTCTCTATGTTCAAAAAATAATTTTAACTATGATAATGAGAATTTTACTAGTGACATGACAATTATTAAAGACGGTAGCTTTTTGTACACAAAAGGCTACACATAATTGACCTTCTATTCTCCTAGGGACAAGCCTCATGAGCTACGATGCCATAGTGTACATAAAAATAATCATAATGTATATAGAATAAGTAGATAAATTAAGAGAAAATAGGAGAAAGAAAAAGATTATACATACCCTTTGAACATAAGACTCAGGCATCAAAGATCTAAGCACATTCAAGTACTCATTCATCTGCTTCCTTCTATTCCTCTCAACAGCAATGTGAGTCATCCTTTGATTCTCAATCTCCTCTTGATTCTTCTTAGCTCTAGCACGACGTCGTTGCTTCGGCCTCATCACCATCTCCATAGCAACACCATCATCATAACCCTCCACCCCCTTTGGCTCGCGCTCTTCGTCGGGGGATGAGGAGTTAGCCAACCTCCAACACTCATGATCGTAGCTATTCAATGGTGGTAAATCACTAACAACACTAGAAGTAGGAGGAATAATACCATCATCATTATTAACTACTCCATGATGAGAATAATAATAAGAATGCCAATCAAAATCTACTTGATTAGTATCATTATTATTACTATTATTCTCAACTAAGTAACAACTATCATTAATATTGTTACAATCATAAAAAAAAAAAGTATCATTATTATTGTAATTAATATTGGTAATATTATTATTATCAAACCAAGGTTCTAATAATAAAGGGTAGAAATTATCCTTGTTGCCATTAATATGGCTAAAAAGGTCTTGTTGATAAACGGCTGCTTCTAGTGCCATCGCTATAAAATGGGTCGCCCCACCAAATGCAAAGCAAGCTCTTTTTTTTTTTTTTCTCTATATTTGGGCAACAAAAGGAAGTGGGATGGTTATTAAGCTAGACTAAGAAAGATAATATATCAAAGTTAATGTTTTTGTGCTTTCTTTAGAAACATTTTTGGGGGTTTTATAGGCCCCTTAATGTTCTACAGCATATATTGCACGTGAAATTCTTTGGCTGATTGTTTTATTTATTTTTTTTTTCACAAATAAAGGGTAAAATAGACTTCATTAGTGTTGTATAATAAGAAAGATTAGTGAATGATTATGTGTGTAGGATTTGATTAGTTCATTGTTGGAAGGATATTTTTGGTATTGTGAAGACTTTTTTTTTTTCCTTCTAATGTTTATGTTCTATTCACTTGAATTTCACCTTAATTTGTTAGCCCAACTACAGCTGATATTAGATCAAAATATCCTATTAAAATTTAATTAAATAAGTAAAAAATAGTTTGTTTTATACGGATATTGGTTACTTTATTCTATTTTATAAAGACAATTCAATTCCTTTCCAATGGGTACCTAGTTAGTTTTTCACTAAGTACTTAGCATTGCAACTAACCAGTTCCAACGAGGATCTAGTTTTGGATCTGATTTCACCGAGTACCCAAAAATGGTTTTGGGAAACTAGGAATTAGAGTTAGAACCGGTTATGAACGTGTCTAAATTCATGGATCCAACAGTTTTCTACTGGTGTTATATGTCTGTTACATGTGTTTGCTTACCCCTAGTTATTACAGAGTAGTTGTCAATAGTACTTGAATAACATAATCAATTCATCATGAACTTTACTTATGTGAGCTTATTGGTATGTCTTGATCTAATTAAACCTGTATAATTAAGGTTATTAATTAATTTATAGTAAGAGATCAATGTATTTGTCACGTATAGGGTTATGTCGAAGAAAATCAATTAGGGCTAGCTAGTGTTTCTCAGTCTTCGTCCCTTTACTTTATCTAGTCTTCACGGAGCTTTACTTGTTCTTAATCCAAAACGGTGAACAAGTTGTTAGAAAATGACATCTAAGAACGAACTAGATTGGAATTAAATCTCGTCAACATACTGTCTTTTGTGACTCACTATATACAAACATAACAAAAATATAGGTTAGTACGGTTTGACTAGGGAAACTTTTATAGACAGTAGTGAACATCTAAACAAAATTGTTGGAATTAACAAGAGATCAAAGCAAATTAACCTGCTACAGGGTAAACTAATAGATCAAGTATTGCAACTTGCAATTGCACAGTACCTGCTCCCTCAAAATTTATACAAGAACTAATTAAATAACTGAGCATATATTTATATTTCAGCTTTATGAAGATTCCATAATAAATTATAAAAATATAATGTGTACCAGACAAATTGCTTAATTAAACTAGTAAAGACAAATTGGGAATGTTAAATAAAATGCTAAAAGAACTATAATGTTATGGGTGGTTAAGTATTATTCTTGTTGTTCTAATTAGTTCTAATACAAAAGGCTAATCTTTACAAAATTCATGTTAGAAATAAAATAATTAATTTAGAAATCTGTGGTATAATATATGATTAAACTCCCAAAATTTGGACAGTTTATGCAAGGTTGCGCCCACAGATTGGTCAAAGCTGGTGAGAAATAGTGCAAAAGTAAAGCAGCCAAAATTTGGTGGGACTGCTTTGGCCTGCAAAATGTTATACCCTAGGTGTTTTAAATCGGATTCATAAACTAATTTTATTATTGATATTGTTGGATAATTAATCATTGTTGGATAATTCAATTCCTTTTTATGTATGTGACCTGCATATAATGCTAATCAACATAGTTTATATAATATGTACGGTACGTCCATTGCATGTATGAGGTATCTAACTATTTGCTTTAATTTGTTCAATATTATGGTGTGACGGTGGCGCTAAAGATGGTTGTGGGCTGTGATTCGTACGGAGTTTATGTGATTTGGGATTATCTAGGCTCGATCTATGAGCTATGCGCATGGTCCAATCCCACGTGTCTAAGTAAAACTTCATCGATTTTAGCGTGTTTTATTGTGCAATGTCTCTTGTTGTGCTTCTTCCAAATAAGGGCAGTAACGTATTTCTTTCAAATCATATAAAGTCAAATTTTAAACTAACTACAAGACCTATACTTATTATATACAATGCATTTGCTGGTTTAAAAAAAAAAAATATACAATGCATTTGCTCGTTATAAATGGTTAATTAAGCCTAGCTAGCTAGCTAGTAATACATCACCTAGCCAGCCTACCATCGAACTACAAATTAATTATTAACTGGTACCAAAGTAAATTGAATGATTATGATGTAAGTATTAAGTAAGCTACCATTAACAGGAGAATATCTAATAAAATCTCCTAATTTGCTGCTTGTCAAAAACAAAAAAAGCTACCATTAACGTCATGATTACAATGCACTACCTATGACTTCAATTCATATTGAAAAAGTACGTATAAATATACTAACCAATCACATTAATAAATTTCCAAGATAAACTTAAACTTGTATAGTATGTACGTAGTACGATAACAATACATGCAAAGTAATTAATACACTTGATCTTGGCGAAAGAATTAAATAACCCATATTTAAACAAGGGTTTGACCAACTAATACAATCCAAGTGTAAAACTAGATCCAACTGGCCCTAAGTTTGAAAGACTAAAATATGTTAATCTAAGAGATACGATTGACTACCGAGTCCTCAATGTTAGATTATGTAAATAATCTTTTGTATTTATCTTGCATATATATTTAGTGTATATCTTTCCTAGTATAGCTTTAGCTTAACCTAGAAGTCTCTCTTGTATATATACTAATCTTTGATGAATGAAAAGGCTACGACAAATATTCTCATTTTCTCTAATGGTATCACGAGTTTAAGTTTCTTTCCTGACAAACCCTAATTCTCTTCCGCTCTTCTCTCTTCTTGATTCACTACAAGAATACGCGCTCTAAAATCCATCGGTAAAAATATAATTTGCCGATGGTTTTATCAAGCCATCGGTATTTTCAAAAATACCGATGGCCTAATCATCGGTATATTTTTTCCGATGACTTCCTTCCATCGGTGAAATCTTATTTTTTAAAAGAAGATTGGATTTTTTTTTACCGATGGTTAAAAGCCATCGGTAAAAAAAAAATACCGATGGTTTTATTCTATCGGTATTTCACCGATGGCTTTTTAGCCATCGGTATTTTTTTTTTTAAAAAAGATAAAAGAAATAAACACTAGGCGAAGTACTGAAAGTCTGAAACCCTAATGGGGCGCCCCACTTCCCTCTTTTTTCTTTCTTCTCTCCTTCTCTCTTCCACGCCACTTCCTTCTCTCATCTCTCCCTCTCTTTCCTCTCTCCCACGGCTCCTCTTCTCTTTCTCTTCTCTCCTTCTTTCTCTTTCCCATGACTCCTCCTCCTCCTCTTTCTCCTCTATTTCTCTCGTCCTCTTCTCTCTCCTCCCTTTCTGTTTTACACTTTTTGTAAAGGTTCTTCGGTTTTATCGATAGTGTTCTTGGGATTTTCGTGGGAAATCCGGCGACATTGTGGTTTTTGGTGGTCAAAATCGACCATGAGTTTTTATGGTCGAATTTGACCATTTAAACCCTAAGAAGTGAAAAAAAATCTAAAGGTATGTTATTTTTGGTTGAATATTCGTGGGTTTTGGAGTAGTGGGTTTTGTGGTTGATTTTCGTATGTTTTGAGGTTAATTTCGTGGGTTTTGTCGTATGTTTTGTAATTAATTTTGTGGGTATTGTGGTTGATTTTCATATGTTTTGTAATTAATTTCGTGGGTTTTGTGGTTGATTATCTTATTTTTGTGATTGATTTTCGTGGGTTATGTGGCTGAATTATTTGGTAGGTTTTTGAGGGTTTTTTTGGTTGATTTTCTTTGAATTTATTGATTGATTTTCGTGGGTTTTTTATGGTTGATTTTCGTTGGTTTTTGTGGTTGATTTTCATTAGTATTTGTGGTTGATTTTCACTAGTATTTGTGGTTGATTTTCGTGAATTATTGGTTATTTTTGTGGGTTTATGGAGATGGCGGAGGTGGTGGTAGGTGGATGAGGGTTGCTGGTGATCATGGTAGGTAAATGAGGGTTACCGGTGGTCATGGTAGGTGGATTGGTTGCGGCGGTGGGTTGGGGTCTTGGGGATGTGGGCAGTAGGGTAGGGGGGGCAGGGGGGGTAAGGGGCAGGGGGTAGCGGGGTGGATAGGGGTTTTAATTTTAATTACCGGTGGCTAAAGCCATCGATAATCGGAAAATACCGATGGCTTTTGACGATTAGAAAAAAAAAGCCAATGGCTATTGCCATCGATATTTAAAAAGGTAGCGATAGTTTGTAGCCATCGGTAAAACCATCAGTATTAAGTTTACCGATGACTTTTCCATCAGTATTTTCGATTTTGCCGACGTATTATTATCCGATGGCCAAATACCGATGGCAGCCATCGGTAAACGAGATACCGATGGTTTTTTTTATACTTTTCCCGATGGATTTTGTCCATCGAAAAATGGATCATTTCTAGTAGTGATTTTCCATGGCCGATTCTAGCAAGATCCATCCAGCCACCATTGTGACAAACATCAAGGCATGTATTCCCATTACTCTTGAGTATGATGGAGCGTAATACAACAGCTGGTCGACCTTATTCCAACTCCATTGCCGTGCGAATTTGGTCATCGATCACATCATCCCTCCATCGGTTGATCCTTCAGCCAAGAAAACCGAACCCATACCTGCCAAACAAGCATTCTTCCAACATCTTGACGATATTTTTTGACAATGGATTTATGGGACAATTTCTACTGACCTTTTAAATTCAATTATCGATCCGGATGACAAAGCGGTCGATGCGTGGAAACGGTTGGAAAATTTCTTCCTCAACAACAAATCTGCTAAGGCTTTGCAACTTGACGCTCAATTCACAAATACTCGGCCGGAGCAATTTGATGGCGTCAAGGCATACTGCACTCGGCTTAAGACTCTCGCAGATAGCTTGAAAAATGTCGGGGATAAAGTCTTCGATAATCGTATGGCATTGCAACTTTTGAAAGGATTAACAGAGGAGTATAAGCCCTTTCGAACTTTTGTTCACCATATGAATCCTCTGCTCTCCTTTGACACTCTCCGATCCATGCTCGAGCAAGAGGAGCATGGCAATGCTACCAATACTACCCCTGACACCAGCGAAGAGGCTCATCTCTCTCACGCCAATTCGATGGGTCAGTAGGGTCATGGAGACAACTCACAGAGTTCTGCAAATTCCCGTGGGCAGCCTCGTATTGGCGGACGGAAAAAACAAAGGGAAGGGCGGCGGTAAGGGAAAGGGCAGCGTCGTCGCCGCTAACCGAAGCAACCAACAGCCGCAGCGCTGGTTTGGTCAGCCCCAACAGCAGCAGCAGGCCGCAGGATGGTTCTATCCCCCACCTTGGGCCTATTGGAATCAAGGGTCGTGGGTTGCTCCCCCATGCCCCTACCCAACTCAGGGTCCACAAGTCCGAATCAGTCCGGTGTTCTCGGC